TGTAGGCGGCGTCTCTGGGGTCCGGCGCTAGGTCGGCGCCGTGAGCTCCCTACTGACTGTACGGCAGCTCGAGCAGCTTCGGTTCCTTCTTGGTCACGGGACCAGATACCGGTTACCATGGCAAGCAAAACTCCCAGTCTTGACAGCCGAAAGCAGTGGCATCAGCTGCGACGTCGCAGACTGCTCCGCCGCCTTGCAGAAGATGGAGATAGCAGAGCGGCGAAGGACGAGTCTCAACTGCCGCCACTAAAATGTCGACGACGTTCGCTGCCCTGATACATTTGATGAATAAACATCGCTTGAACGAGGTTGTTTTGCCGCCCCCGTGATCGCCATGAATGCCAGACATGTACATCTTGGTCTCAAACAAACCCACGCCGTCCACAGTATTATGTTTGTCTTCCGACCGGAAAAGCATACCCATCGGCGTTGGCGTGTTCTCAAGTGTTGCAAGTGCGGGTTTGGTCGTGGAAGAGTCGACCATCGTAACGCCGAGGCGCAGCTTGTCCCGTTCTCAATAGAGATACGGTGCGCTGGACCGGAGAGCGCGCACGCTCCAGACGTCAGCAGACTCGTTTAACGTGGTGTCGACAGACGTTGCGTCCTCAATCAAGATTCTTGATGAAATTGCTACCGGACTTGCAAAGGAAAAGGAGGAGATGGTCAGGAACGCAAAGGAACGCGATGCTCTGTCTGAGCGAGGAAATAATGCCCGAGAGGTGGAACGAGCAGTGACGCTGAGGCGGCAACTGAACAAATGGATTGATCGGACTGAGAAGTTATGTGAGCAGAGCAACCAAAAGGCTCAGGAGGCCAAGGCCAAAATGCATGAGCTGCGGGCGATTCGCCGAAAGCTGACTGAGGAGCATACGGAGAAGAGCAAAGAAATGGAGCGTTTAGACATTTTGGGGGCCCAAATGGAAAAGACAAGCATATCTTGCAGAGGTTCTACGCAGAGGCGGAAAGGAGAGGCCACGCAGCAGGGCTAGGAAAACAGCAGTTCAGTTCGTGAGATGGGAAATGCTACATCTTTTATACGGAATTCAAAGGGAACCGCTAAAAGTTATGGCATTAACAGCGAGTTATAAGTTCAGGGTTTATGGAGAAGCAAAAGGCTTAGATGAGTCATTCTTTTGTTCTCAGCTACAGCGATAATTTGAGGGTCTCTGAGTGGAAAGCAGGGGCTGCTAGATGAGCATTACCGCATATGAATCCTAGCTTCGCATCATTTCGCGTTGCGGAGTACGGTAATACTGCCTGTAACATGGGTTTCCCCTTCATCGAGTACGGGAGCCAAGGTTGCGGGTATTGACAAACGGAGAATTTGGGCTGCTATGGACTTGAACGTAGCTTGTATGAGAGGCTGCATGATTTGTGCATCCCGCCTTTTCCTCGAAATAAGGCGGTGCTCTTGCCTGGCATCCGCCATGTCGCTCTGTTCGTGAGGCGGGAGGGAACATTTTTGGCAAATCCTGACAGCCGTCATCCAACTTGCAAGCAAGGTACCTAGTGCAATCCAGCAGCGTCTGGCGCCAAAAAACAGTGTATCAATGATAACAGTGCTACCCAACAACTCAATCGGCTCAAAGTAGACTCCTACGATAAAGTGTTTCCCGGGGTGTTTTCGAACTTGGAAATTTGGCGGTACAGCTGAATTCGTTGTCAAGACGTCCAAGCCAGTGAAGCGGTACTGGTACCATGACGCATTCTCGGTCCCGTAGCGTATGATTGACACAGTTGAATTTTCATGTGCGACCTCTTTCCACCGACACAGTAAAATGGAGTGTATATCTTGTCAGTGAAAAATGACAATTGGCCCCTTGGAAGTGCCGTTTCCGGTAGCTTGCGTTGAACTATGAAAAGCCAGTCTGGATAGTCATTTAGCTAATTTAGCTGACTACGGGTTATGATCTAGGCCTATCCAAGGCTGTCTGTCGTCCCTGGGATTTAACACTCATGGAAACAATTTCCGCCTGTTTTACCCTGCAGTTCACATCGCGCACCTAAGCGGCGATGGCAAAGATCAATCCGGAAGCTCCTTCGGTGCTTCCATTGAAACAAAGTGACGGCAAATCGACTTGGACACTTTCCTAGGACCCTGCGTTTGCTCGACTCTGGATGGTGTCGGGCGCGTGCGCCGCAGCTTCATTCCGCGGAGGTTGGACTCGCTGCTGGCCCGTTCGTCAAGACCAAACATTAATTTAGCAGGAAATTGAGACGCGGTTAGTCTAGTAATCTTCTTATCCGTGCCTATGTAACTATACGATATTCGGGCAGGCCAAGGCAGCAGCTTCCATTTGTTCGCTTTAATAGAAGACAAAACGACACGCGGTGTACGGAAAGTGGTATCTTTTCGGGACAAGTTTCAGCAAAAGCATACAGCGCAAAGCGCCCCTCCGGCGACCAGGAAAGGACTAAAAAACTCCATTTTTTGCGGATTTAGTTATTGACTGCTGTCTGTAGGCGACTCGATATGAGACCCCCTTTTTTTTTTTCTTTTTTTCTTTTTTTTGGAATTGGGTCTCCATAATAAGGACTCATCGAGTTACTTGAGAGGTTGGGAAAATCGGCATTGCTAAGTCGATAGAATTTAACACCTACAAAGCCCCAAACTTTATCGGAGACCTTTGAACAATATGCTTGCTTGTTATATTTCTCCAGGATCCAATGTCGGCCCACATCTCAGTATCAACAGTTGCGAAACCTTATCTCTAACTTGCCTAGATGACTTTCCTTTAAAACGGGCAAGGTATTCAATCTTTTTGTGCGCTATCGGCCGAGATGATCCGGCAACGTTCTCCGTTTGTGACGAAACAGAACTGACATCCAACAGCCCGTTAGTGCTCAAGCCCTCGCCGATTCTCGATAATAAATAGCGAGCGCTGGCTGAGTCTTTCATTAGATCTCGGCGACCACGCCAAAAGTGGATATTGCCCTTAAGTTCCGAATCACACTCCTGCTGCGAAGGTCACTCGC